TCCATGGCCTGGAATCCTCTCAGGACATCCATGGCCTGGAACCTCAGTGACCTCAGCTCCAAGCATGAGGAGATTCAGCAATGAGCTGAAGAAAACCTGAATAAATCAGGTTTTTTTAGGAGTTACCCAGTTGCTTAAAGCCCTCTCAAAAGAAACTCTTGACTGTGGAAAGCCCAAGCTGAGGCCCAGCACATGGAAATGCAAATAAAGAGCCCCAAATGTGCTGTAATTCCAGCTCAGCCCCAGCACTGAGCCAATATTTCACCCCGTTCTTGCACAATTAAAAGCTGCAGGGCCGGAAGTCAGAGAACTCAAAGCTGAGTTGAGAATTCAGTGTTTTGTTGAACTTCCTCCCACAAAGTACATTTCAAAAAAATAATAAACACAGAAGACAGTAAAAGCGTGACTTTCATATAAACCATAATAGCAATTGCACAGAGCACGAGATCAGCTCGCTGATAGAGAAAAAGGAGAAATTCTTGCCAAGCAAAACTTTCCTGGTTTCCAGCCCGGCTTTCTCGTGCACTGAATTGTTTAATTGTTTAATGGCTGTACCTTGAACTGCAGGCACCCTCAAGATTTTAGGCAGCTCAGCTGCAAGATCTGGCTCCAAGTGTGAGGCACCAGGATTGCTCACAGCCACAGGAAAATCCATGGGAAGTGCGAGGCAGGGTGGGAATCAACCCCCGAGGGGGAAATTCTGCTGCTCACAGAAATCCTGGCAGTGGAGCACAGAAATGAAGGAATTAAACTGAGCCCTCCATCAAGAGAGCCTCACTGGAAGCTCTGATGGAGCTGGAATTCTGCTGCCTCTGAGGGATAATGACTGATCTGTGCCTCTTCCTTCCAGGAGGCTGCAGGTAAAAAAAAAAATTAAAAAATCTCATTTCTCTGGCTCAGATCCAACTTCCAGCGCTGTGTTTGTATCACTGAGAGCTGAAGCACAGCAAATAAACTGCAGGAGGATGATCCTTGTGCCATTTGGATCGGTTTTACACAGGAGAGAGCTCACAGCCTCTTTAATCCTTTCAATTGGGAAAAAATAAATAAATAAAACAGCTTCATTTCCCTTACAGGTAAGTAAAGACTCCTAAGCCAGTTAAAATGTTTTTTGGAGCAACTACACAGCTCCAGCAATTAGGAATGACATTTGCTGTAACAAGAGGCATTTTTAAGATGCTGCTTAACTATCTCATGTCCCTTCCACAATAATCTGGCAAATTCGGGGCCTTGCTACTCACAGTAAACACATTTCAACACACAAAAGAGATCTTATCTGCGTGTTAGGAGTTACTTTTAGAAAATGTGCTTCAAAAACAACCAATTAGCAAGGTCTGTGCTCTGGGGGCTGGAAATGGGGGAATTAAGTGAAAGCTGCAGCTTCACTTGACAAACAACCTCAATTCTCCTCTTTGGATGCTGTTAGGAAAACAAGAGGAGCACAGGAATAAGGCACACATTCCATCAGAGCCAGAGTGTGCAGTTTTCCTCCAAACATGAAAAAAAAACCTTATAAAACAATTCAGCTCGCTGAAAATGGTGGTTCAGCAGGGGCAGAGAGCTGCAAGCAGACATTTGCAGCACGAGGAGCTCTCCTGGCTGGCTGGGACACAAACCCATCCCATCCCCATGTTCTGCACTTGGCAGAGGGTGACTAAGAAATGTGGATCAAATTCAGCAGCTCCACTGCAAAGGAACAAACGGCTCTTTGTCTCAGCCCAGCAAGGGCCAAGGAGCACTGGACAGGGCCTGGGCTGCTGACAAGGTGATGATCAAAGGCTGGGCTCTGATCTTGGAGGGCTTTTCCAGCCTCAGGGATTCTGGGATTCAGCCAGCTGTGCTCCAAAGGTGCAGGGATGGAGAAATCCCTGCATCCCACCAATCCAGCCCAGCACATCCCTCTGAATCTGAATCCCAGGCTGGAGCTGCATTCAAATAGAAGAATTTCTATTTCCTCCTTTTGTTCCTGTTTTATTCCTTTTTTTTTTTTTTTTTCCCCTACAAATAAGAGCAGATTTCACGTCCTTATCTGTTCCTCACATTAGCTGCGTGCTACCCACCCACACGAAATATTTGGGTACAGAATGCCTGCTCAAGTGCCCTGCTGGGCAACTCCCTGCCCTGAGGCTCGCTCAAATTATTGCTTCTTCAACCAAACATCCTTCTCAAAATGGACAGAAAACTGGAGCAAAGCTCCCCAGCTGTGCCACCTGCACTTGGGAACAACCAGGGGCAATCCCAGCACCCAGGGGTGTGCTCTGCCCTCTTTTATGTCATTTCAGGAGGGTGTGAAATTTGAATTATACAAATTCTCTCTCTCACACACATTTTCTTTCCCTTCTGTTTCAAGCAGGCAGAGAATTATTCCAAACCCCACATCGGGTCATCAGTTCATCCTTGTGGGGGAGGGACACAGAGTCAATTCAAAAGTCCTTTATCCCTATCCCATGAGTAATCTGATGGGAAAAAGCAAGCAGGAGATGCTGAAACACTGGCTAAATTCCAGGTTCTGAGTGGCTGCAGCAATATCTGCCAGTGGAAAACAAACCAGGGAACCCACACACGGGACACTTGAGGGAACCCACACTGCTGGCAGCACGGAGAAGGATGCCCAGACCATCTGGGGAAAACGTTCTACAAATGATTTCAGATTTTGTAGTCGAAGTATTAGTAAATGCACAAATGCAGAAAATGAATCTGAGTCTGAACAGGCTGGGGAGGGGCTGGGATGAATTCCCACAGGAGCTGTGGCTGCCCCTGGGTCCCTGGAGTGTCCAAGGCCAGGGACAGTGGAAGGTGTGGTGGGATGGGCTTTAAGGCTCCTTCCAACCCAAACCATTCCAGAATTTTATGATGGACACTGAGGCTCTTCCCCCAAACTCTTAACTCAAAGGCTTTTTAATAGGATTGCTTCAGACAAACAGAATTCCCACACAAAACAAGCCCCAAACATTCCTGAAGTTACCAGAAAGGCCAGGGATTGCTTCCAAAGGCATCTCCTTGGAATTGAAAATGGAAAACTTCCATTTTCTTCCCCTGACACTCCACACAGGGGAGAAATATCCCATTGTCCCTCGGCTCCGGGGGCACTGAGACCTGGCAGGGAGTGAGTGAGGGATGATCCCTGATTTGGGGTGCTCTGTCCCACTCAGAGCTGCCAGCAAAGGGCTCTTCCCACAGCCAGGAATAAATAAATAAATGCACACCATCACTCCTGCCCTGGAATGTCTTGTGGGAATTACAGCCTCACCCTGCAGTATTACCAAAATCTCTCTGCTTCTCCCTTAATTACAGCAGCTAAATTAAAAAAAAAAAAAGAAAAAGTAAAATACTGTGCCAGATCCTTCAGAAATGCACAGACAACCTCGGCACTCACACAACAGGTGGAAAAACCACCTGAAAAAGAAAATCAAATTACCAAAATCTCTCTGCTTCTCCCTCAATTACAGCACCTAAACCAAAAAAATATGCAAAATACCGTGCCAGATCCTTCAGAAATGCAGAGCCAACCTTGGCACTCACACAACAGGTGGAAAAACTACCTGAAAATCAAATTACCAAAATCTCTCTGCTTTTCCCTCAATTACAGCACCTAAACCAAAACCAAAAAAATATGCAAAATACCGTGCCAGATCCTTCAGGAATGCAGAGCCAACCTCGGCACTCACACAACAGGTGGAAAAACCACCTGAAAAATAAAATCAAATTACCAAAATCTCTCTGCTTCTCCCTTAATTACAGCACCTAAACCAAAACAAAAAAAAAAATGCAAAATACTGTGCCAGATCCTTCAGAAGTGCAGAGCCAACCTCGGCACTCACACAACAGGTGGAAAAACTACCTGAAAATCAAATTACCAAAATCTCTCTGCTTCTCCCTCAATTACAGCACCTAAACCAAAACCAAAAAAATATGCAAAATACCGTGCCAGATCCTTCAGGAATGCAGAGCCAACCTCAGCATTCACACATCAGGTGGAAAAACCACCTGAAAAAGAAAATCAAATTACCAAAATCTCTCTGCTTTTCCCTTAATTACAGCAGCTAAACTAAAAAAAAAAATGTAAAATACTGTGCCAGATCCTTCAGAAATGCACAGACAACCTCAGCACTCACACATCAGGCCTCCCACATGCCCCAGCCCTCCAGACTGTCACTGGAAAGTACCTGCTCAGCTTTGTTTACAAGGGATTTCTTCTGCAAAGGACTTTTTTTTCTCACTCACCCACCCTCTCTCCCCAGATCTCCTCTCACCAATCTGCTCCTCCTACCAGCAGGGAACCTTGCCTGGGGTTTTGGAGCCAGCAGAAGGTTCCTCCACACAGAAATCACCTAAATGCTGCTGCATTTAGGCAATATTGAAGGGTGTTAGAAGTTACCCGTGCTGTGAAGGGCTCCGTGGAGCCATGAAAATCAACATTATATAACGCTCTGGGAGCAGCAGATTCTCCTCAGCAGCTCCACCAGCGATTTACACCTTCACACAAAAAATCAGCTGCAAGGAAAGTAGCCACAACTGCAAAAGAACCCGAAATTCAGATGCTCACACTGTAATGGATCCAGCAAATTTTCAGCCTGGCACTCCTTCCAGCACGGATGAGAACATTCTAGAAGCCTGGCGGATTTGGGGATAGTTCTGTTTACTTTGGGTTTTTTTTTTTAATAATGAAGCCCTGTGGTTTATAGAACTACTGAAAGCAGACTGTTTTTTTTTTTTTTTTCTTCCTTTTTTTTCTAAGATTTAGTTTGTTTTTTTCTCAAAGCACCTCCCCTTAAAAATAACGGATGTTTAAACCATATTTAGAGGCTCAGCTAAAGCAACTAATGAGTGTTAGGTAAGATGTTTCTCCATGTAGAACAATCTGTTCCAAAAGTTCCCAAAAATAGCAATTCTCCAAACACTGCTGTGATGCAATATTTAACCCCTTGCTGACAGCAGCAGCTGAAATTTGACCATTTTCCCCCCCAAACACAAGGCAGTGCTGCAGGAGCTCTCCTTACCTAGGCTGGTAGGTTTGATCAGCTCGTCCAACAAGTCGTAAAAAGGGAGTTTCTGCAGCTTGATGTCGGGGTGCACGGGGTGCAGGGCCGAGGTGAGGTGGGGCAGTTCCAGTTCGTGTTTGGGTCCCAGCAGCGAGACGGGGAGCAGGGGGGACGTGGCGGGGTGGCCGTCGTAGCCCAGCTGTGGAATGGTGGAGGGCGACAGCGTGGCCGGCATGGAGCTGGAGTGCACGCTGGCGATGGACAGGTCTGCTGGGGTCATGATTTTCTGGGGGAACCTCCTCCTATAGAGTTCTTTGATTTTCATCTGGACGGCGGGGCTGCAGCCAGCCTTCAGCAGGTGCAGGGCTTTGGTCAGCAGTTCGTGTTTGCGGCCGTGCTTGTTCCTGCCCGCGTAGCCCAGCAGCACCTGCAGCTCCGAAACTCGAAGGCTCATAACCATTTGCTTCAAAGAAATGAAATAAGAGGGTTAACGTGGTCCTCGCCAGGAATAAAGCAAAGGGTTAACAGAATCCTCACCAGGAATAAAGCAAAGGGTTAACAGAATCCTCACCAGGAATAAAGCAAAGGGTTAACAGAATCCTCACCAGGAATAAAGCAAAGGGTTAACGTGGTCCTCACCAGGAATAAAGCAAAGGGTTAACAGAATCCTCACCAGGAATAAAACAAAGGGTTAACAGCTGAATTCCAGAATCCTCAACAGAAATAAAGCAAAGGGTTTACAGAATCCTCACCAGGAATAAAGCAAAGGATTAAGAGGTGAATTCCAGAATCCTCACCAGAAAGAAAACAGAATTAACAAGTGACTTCCAGAATCCTCACCAGAAATAAAACAAAGTGTTTACAGGTGAATTCCAGAATCCTCAACAGAAATAAAACAAGGGGTTAACAGAATCCTCAACAAAAATAAAACCAAGGGTTAACAAGTGAATTCCAGAATCCTCAACAGAAATAAAACAAAAGGGTTAACAGCTGAATTCCAGAATCCTCACCAGAAACAAAACAGAGTTAACAGGTGAATTCCAGAATCCTCACCAGAAACAAAACAGAATTAACAAGTGACTTCCAGAATCCTCACCAGAAACAAAACAAAAGGGTTAACAGCTGAATTCCAGAATCCTCACCAGAAACAAAAAAAATGGTTAACAGGTGAATTCCAGAGCCCTTACCAGAAACAAAACAAAGTTAACAGGTGACATTCAGCACTCTCACCAAGGCTCAGACCCATTCACTTCAAAGAAACAAACCAAAAATTAACAGGTGACTTCTGCATCCTCAGGGAGGCCAGAGAGGGCTTGAAGCCCGTTGAACATGAAGTTTTTCAAGGCTCTGGGCCACTGCTCTGCCCCCTTTTACAATGCTCACATATTTATTACAATTCTGAGTGTCTATTTGCAAGTCTGCAATGAGAGATTTTTAAAGGCATTTCCATCCTGTGGGCAAAAAGCTGAGAAAAGGACTCAGTGCAAAATAAAGGTTAACTCTAATTCTTTTTGAATCACTTGCTAGGATCTCTGATGCCACTGATTTTTCCTGCTCTAGCTGGATGTAAAAGCAGTTGTACACTGACAATATCCAAGCTGTGCCAATTCTCAGCTCCAAGCAGCACTTCCAAGTGCCTCCCTCAGTTTCTGCCATGCAGCAGAACTGATCCACACAGGCTGGAAGGAAGGAGATCAATGACATTAAACAGAGTGAACATAATCCCATGTGAGCCCCTGTCACCATTCCTGGGTTAAAGGGAACTTCCTCCCATTCCACCTCTGCTCTTCTCCCATCGGAGCTGCCTATCCTGTTTGGATGGGAGGTAATTAGCATCTTCATTAACACAGCCATTTAGTGCCTCCCAACAGGATCTAATGAATCACACTGGTACAACTCGTCACCTGTTTCACTTCTCCAGGAACTGGGAAAAACACTTCCCAAACCAGTGAAACCAGTAATCGCCAGTGTGCATCAGCTGGGCAGGCAGGAGCCAGAAAATCAACTTCAGGGCCTGGTTTTGATTGGAAAATACATTTCAGTGCTTGACAGGGGCTTGCTCATCATCAGAAGGCCTGAGACACCAGCTGGAATGAGGAGAACCCTGCAGAAGTCTGGGTTCCCAAGGAATAATGAAGAAATGCAATGCCTAAAACTCATGGATGTGACAGGCTGCCTTCATCTTCTGCAGGAAAGCATGAAACTCCCTGAATGTTCTGTACCCAGTCCCAGATCTGATCCCAAACAACACTTGATGGATGGATTTGGGACCCAAGCAGCTAATCACACCAGGGAGGGTTCTGCACTTTCCCAGCCACTGAAGGATGAAGACCCAAACCAGAATTCGCATTTGAAATCTCTGAATTCGACTACAAACGCTCCCATCCTCTCTGGTCCTTCAAACTCTGCCAAGTCTCAAACACTGCTCTGATTTTTTCCACATTAATTCTCAAACCTGAAGTGCCAAGATTAGAAAGGTGCTACCCCCTGGCTTTAACAAAACCAGCCCAAAACTTCCATCATCTCCTCAGAGCTCCAGCACCTGCAAGAGATCTTCAGTGCCCCGGTGTCCACGGGAGGATTTCCCTCCACTGAAACTGCTCCTGGTATGTAAAAGCCCTAAATGAGATGATTCATGTCTTTGATGAGATTTGCAGCAGCCACACTGAAGTCAAATTGGCCACAAAATTTCTGCTCTGCTGAAGCACAGCTCAAGAACCTCGCTGCAAATCCTTGCTGCAGCCTTCCACAAAGCCTTTGGATAGAACTGGAGTAGTTTTATTTCCCTGTATACCCCAAGAACCTTCTTCACACTTGGCTCTGAGACTGCCACAGAGCCCCTAATGAGAACAGACGAGGTACTTGGTAAGAAATGAAGATGTCTTAAAAGAATAAGGCATTTCAGCTCCAATCTGAAGTGTTGACAGCTGAAAGGAAAGTGAAACAAATAGATTTGAAACATGGAAAAACACTATTTATAATGCTATACAAACACTTCTTCAACAGAATGAGTAGTTACAGCTGAAGGGTTTAATGCCATCACCATTAAAAGTCACTTTCTGAACAGGCAGAACCTCTCAGAGCTTCACTCTGTTCTTGTTTTGTGATAAACTCCCGGGCTCAGCTTGCCAAGAGCACAAGAGGATGAAGAAATAACTGAGGCAAGGGAGAAGCTCCTGCTCCACGCTGGCTAATTTCCATTTTTAAGGTAAAGGCGAGCTGGAATGAGCACACAGAGAGCAGGGACCATGCTGGAGCCAGACTCAGAGACCAAAACAAACAAAATCCCCACATCTTCCCCACCCCGGCGCATTCCTCACACACGAGGACAAGAACAATTCTGTTTGCAGTGTTCAGGGCACTGACAGACCCATCCTTTAAACCAGCAATAAAGCCTTGTGGGTTTATTATCCTTTTATAATTTAGAGATAAACCTTTTATCCACATCGCAGGGAGGCAATGCCTCACACCTTCCCCACCTCACACAGGGCACTGCCAGGGGATGGTGTCCCTGGGAAGTCCAGCTGGGGAATTCTCCTACAACACCAACAGGAGAATTCCTGTCCCCTCCTCCAACCCAGCTGAGGTTTACAGGACCCAACCTGTGGGAAATGGATTTGTGAGAGAGAATAAATGCTGATTTAGAAATGCCATGGAATAGGACAGACATTGCTGAGAGAGAAAAGGAACTAGAAACGAGTTTCAAAGGATGGCCTAGCAAATAAAACTAGATATTTCAGAGAAATTGAACACTGAAAGGTGCATTGTAGCAGGACCCACAAAGGGCAATTTTAGATGATTGGCTTTGAGGCAGTTTACAGCATGGTGTGGCTAAAGCTGATAGACCAAGAAACACTTATAGTGTATTGTAATTAGGAAACTTCTGATTGTGGTTGTGTGAATTATAACATCTGTATTGTCTCACCCTTCACATGAGACTGAAAATGGAATAAAAGTTTTTAGGCACCTCTCAGTTGCCCCACCCCTGGGTCAGAAAAGGGCATCATCTGACACCAACCCAGCTCCACCAGCAGAAACCCAACCCTCTCCATGCCCTGATCCATGGTATCCTGACCCTGGGCCAGGCAGGACAACACAGCAGGGAAACCACCCAAGTGCTGCCAAAACAGCAGGAAAATCCACAAAAAACCCTCAATTTCTCCAGTTTTCTCTGTCACATCTCCACTCCAAGCCCTTGCCGGCTCAGCTGCAGCAGCAGAGCTGAAGGGCAAAGACACAAAGAGTTTTGCTGCAGGAAATGTTGTTTTTCTTTCCTGCTGCCTGCAGCAGCGGAGCACAAAGATCTTTGCACCTGCCAGGTACAAACCCCAGCACAAGGACTGCCCCCAAATAACAACAAAATCCAGAAAGTTTGGATTTCTCTATCCTAACAGGAAATAAAGTCACAAAACAACAACAAACAGCTGAACTGCAGAGAAATGAAAGGCCAGGCACAGCTCCCAAGGATTGGCTGCAGAGAAATCCTGCAGACTGCACCTCCAGGTGTTTAGTTCTGGGAATATTCATTCCTGCCAACAGCACTGCACAAGGAATTGATGTTGTTTAGCTCTAAAAAGGTTGAGGTTTTGGCACTCGGCTTCAAACTGCTTTCCAACAAATCCCAGCCTCAAGCACACAGTGGTACTGTGTGTTCTGGTACTGAGAGAACACCCAAAATTCAAAAAGAGGATGAGGATGGTGAGAAACATTTCTCAGAGAGTAAAAGCTGGAAGAAGCTTTCCAGACATCCAGCTTAGCTGGGGATGGTGGCACATTCCCATCCTGAGGAGGGGATCCCTGAACACGCCTCTGACATTTCCTGCTCCACAGCCCGACCCAGCCTCCCATTCCTGCCTCACTCACAGATTCCTTATCCTGCACCCCAACTGCAGCACAGCTTCCCAAATCCCTCAGGGGCTTTGCTGCCACCCAGCATCCCCAGCACAGTCTGTGCCAGGCTGTTTTCCCACCTCCCTGTTCTCCCTGTCCAACCTGGGCTGTTTTCCTGGCTCTGTCATCCCAAGCATTTGCTGCCATTCCTGCTGCTGCAGGAATCCCAGATTTCTGTGTGTTGAGGAAACGCTCTGAAACAACCCACCTGGAAACAAGGAGATCTGGGGAAAAAAGAATTTAAATATATGGGAGTCATCCATGGGCAGCACTGATGTCATTCCCCTCAGGAATTCCCAGTGATTATCCATAGGGAAGGGATGTCCTACCCACAGCTCCTTCCCAAAATAACCAGCATATTTTTTAAAAAAGCTATTAGAGATGAAAACTGGTTTTCATCAAGAATCATTTACTTAGATTTTCTCTGCAACAGCAGGGATGAAACTTGGTTTTCCACACAAACCCAGCTGTTCCAGCCAAGGAAAGATTCCCAAACTAAACTCATGGAATTCCAGCCCTCAGCACAGCTTAACAGCCCAGAGCACTTTCAGGAGTTGCATCTTGTCTCCATCA